GCCGCGCCCGCCCCTCCCGAAGCTCCGGCGCCGCCGCTGGGAGCCACAGACTGGAAACCCGCCCGGGCGGCCATCTTCCTGGGGCCACCGCTGCAGCTGCACAAAGAACCGGAACCGGAACTCCCCCCGCCCCTCCACGCGCCCCCCGAGCGCACGCCTGTGAGCCCGCCTGGCCAGGAGGTACTGGAGGTCTAGAGCAGCGAGACTGTGGCCTAGAGAGGGTAACTAGCGGAAAAGGCGTGCTGACCACTCCCTCCCGCCTTCATGGTTTGGGAGGGAGAACCATAGAGATGAGCTCTGGGACAGAGAGGCCCGTGAGCGGGCGCCCTCAGGCTGACAGGAGGAAGACCGGGACCGAGAAAGGGGACCAGCCGCCCCAGCCTGTCCTAACCCTGACTCCATCCCTCTGAAGCGGAGTTGGAGGAACTGCTTCATCTAGGCGCAGAGCATTTAGCTTTCCGAAGCTTTTTGATTGCTTTTCGTTTCGTTCTCTTACTGCTATAACTCCAAGGGGCGGAAGAAGAACACACTGATTATTCGATTTTACAAATGGGCAAGCTGAACTCAAAGAAGGGAAATGACTTGGCAAAGTTCAACCCGCAAATTAGCAGTAAAGCCAAAGCCTAGAATCCGGATCTCTTGGCTCATAGCCTGGAACTCATTCCTCAGATAAAGTGCCTCAATTAACTACCTCACTCAGGAACTTCGACCCAACCTTGCCGCTGATTTTTTAACCTCCTTTCAAATTTCAAGTTCCGATTTGTCTTAAATTCTGACCTTATGCTCTCTCCAAAGAATCCTTTGTGTTGGAACTTCTGGTTGGGATCTTTCTACCATTGACCCCTCCTTCTTTCCCTCATAAATTGTTCAAACCATTCCTGGTGTGATATCCAGACTGTCCCATCTCAAGAGGACTAGGGACTCTGCTCAGACCTTCCCCTTACTCCTCGCCTGGTTGGGCCCCAAGCCAAGCTCAGCTCTAGGCACTTCGTGGGAGTACCTAAATATGTTCAAATAAGTAAAGAACAACACTCCAGTGGAGATGGTTGAAACCCAGTTTATTCGACCAAAGGCATGCGTCCCCCACAGCCCTGCCTACTGTTTGCCCATCCGGTGCACACTTCTTGGCCTTGCTCCTGCTTTCCTCTGGGGCGGTCTGAAGGTTAAAGGACTCCTAGAAACCAAGAGTTCCCAAAGAGCCTATAGCCTTGCTCCAGCTCCAGGTAAACGTGCAAGTGACCTGTCCACAGGTCCTGTTCTGGGACTGGAGACCAAGAGATAGCTGGACAGAGAAGGCCTGGGAGGAGTGACTGGTGGAGGAGGTGGGGCAGGCCTTCTACCTCAGTGTCTCTTATTAAGGTAGGGAGGAAAAAAACAACAGAACTTTCCATTCTCTTTCCAGGCCTGTCTCCTCCTATTACCAAACCCTGCCTCGCAGGGAATAGAAGGGATAGGTGTGGGTATCAGGTGAGGAAATGGGGCTGGTCCCCCAGGAGGAGGGAAAGGCCACTGACTAAGGATCTACTTCTACCTGCCATCACCCCACTGCCCCAGCTATGGGAGTCACCAACCCCAAGTTTCTGTCAGTCTCAGACACCTATGGTTTAGTGCCCAAAGCCGCTCTCCATACCCTGGGTGGGGGCTCTCTCTGTCACTCCTTCCCTGGGGAGGCCAGTTGGCTAGGCAAGGGCATTGGGATGCATGGAACAGGTGAAAGGATGTTAAGACTGTAGGAAGGGCAGAGGGCACCTGGGCTAAGGGGAGAGGGCGAGGCCAGAAAGAGGCAGAGCTTGTGGTTCACAGCTTCCTTTATGTCGCCACCGAGACAGTGCGAAGGTTACAATGCGCGTGTCGTCTCCTTGTGCTTCTCAGAGGGATGTGTGTACACAGTACAGACACCAAGGGAGAGAGTCCAACTCTTTATACAGGCGAAGGCATTCAGAGACCGGGGGAGGGACAGGAACACAGAAGGGGAACTTGTGTGGGGAGGGGATGTTCTCAGAGACAAGAGGGGATGGGGTGGAGACAGACAAGGTTAGGGGAAGTATATACAGAGATATAGCAATATAGAGTCTGTATCATATAGAAATAGAAAATGCAGATGAGGTCGTTGAGAGAAGCAAATGAAACTGGGGAAGAGGACTTGGGAGAGTTCCATAAGAAAATTTATGGATGTGGCCCTCTTTGGGGCCTCTGGGAGAGGGACCAGTGAGGTCAGGCACCAGTGCCCCTCTCCCTAAGCTGGAAGCTAACCAGCTAGGTCTTTTACAGAATAGGAGAGGAGGGCTGCCTCTTGGGATTTTTCTCCAGCAGCTCTACAGTGAGGGTGAACTCATAGGTACCAGGATGTGGCCTACAGCACCTTGTCCCCATCTCCACTTCTTCAGGGGATCCCCCACCCCCTAGACATTCCACATGGCATGAGAGAGTGGGACTGGGGTTCTTGTTCCTGCCTGGAGACTAGGGTTTGGGGGCAGTCACTGGGCTGAGAGGGTCTCTTAAGGCTGGGGAAGCCCCCTCATTAGCCCTCCCCCTTAAGGTACATTCTCTGGTTTGGGGCCAAATTCCAGACCCCAGGGATCCCCTCCACTCCTAACCAGGAGGGGGCTTTGGTGACTGGTGGCAGCAGAATGTAGGCGGACACTCAGATGACAGACAGACAGAATTCAGGCTGGGAGCTAGGGGAGGCAGCATGGAGGAGAGACGGCAGCCTGAGGTCCCTTGCCCCGTTCTCTCTTTTCAGTTTCTTTTTTAGATTAGTTTTGTTTCATTAAAAATAAAAAGAATGGGATAGAGGCAGGGAGAGGACTCTAGGGTCAAGACTCCTTCCTCACCAGACACGAGGAAAGGCTGTCCAGGAGTTGGGGGGGCGCGTCCCCAGGGCAAGTGTTGGGGGGCGTCTGGCGACCCCCTCGCTCTCCTAGCCCTCCCCATCGAGGCCTTTGGTACAGTGGCCTGCGGGGCTCAGCAGGTAAAGTCCTCAAACGTGCCTCGGGCCGGATGGTGAGGTAGGATGTTGGCGGCGTACGTCATCCCGGCAGGATGGCCCCGAAGGCTCTCGCACGGATTCTAGAAGGGCACAGGACAGGGACAGGTTATCTGAAGGGCCACGGGTAGCGCTGGGGCTTCGGGAAGGTAGTCGAAGGTGGCTTTGAGAGGGTAGTTGGGCAGGGAGTGGTCCTGGAGAGGTGCCGGAAGGGGCGGACCGGAGGGCTCCCCCTTGCCCGCTCCCTCACGTGTCTTTTGACATCGTCCAGGCTAAGGGCGACGCCCTTGTCCGCGCTGCTCCTTTTGGCCTCCTTCTGGCACTTCCCTCGTCTGCAGAGCTTGTGCTTAATGACCTAGGACAGGGTCGGGGTCCGGGTGGAGGTGGGGTGGGCCGGCTAGCGCCCCGCCCCCGCCCCGGGGGCCCCGCCCGTCGCTCACCTCGTAGGCGTAATCAAAGAGTTCCAGCACCGTGAGGATGCTGGCTCCGATGAACAGCCCCATCTGGCCCCCAATGTCACCTGCGGAGGGAGGGGTGAGGGGAAGTCGTTGGGGTCAGGCAAGGCTCATTGGGTCTGGGGTGGGCAAGTCATATTTGAAAAGGAACTTCAGTGTTCACGTGGAAGATTGCAAAGCCACGTTCTGACACGATATTTATTTTTTTACTATGTTCTTCTGTACATTCCTACTTTTCTAAAATGAACAGGTATTATTCAGGAAAAACAAATACCCAAAACTCTTAGTCTCTGAGTCAATTCCAGGGTCATGTGAAACAGTTTTCTCCTCCACCCCTTACTTCTCCCTAAGAGAAATTTTTAGTATAGGGTGGGTGCGCTTGACAGAAAGACAGACAGAAAGCAAAAAGCCACCCCCTGGGGGAATGGCCACACCACAGTCCCTTCTCTTGCATTATCCTCTTGGGATTTGGGGCACGCATGCACACAGGCCCAGCGTGAGTTTTAAGGTGCTACTAGGTCCAGGACTTGAACCACATTCCACTACATGGAAGTCCAGCAATGTAACTATTATGCCATCTGCTGTTCCCAAGGCCTGTCTTCTTCACATTGCCCTAAGAGAAGGTTCACCCTTTCCCTCACCGCATACCAAGACAACAGGGTTTGATGAAAGGCCTCTGGGGGGGGAGGGGGAAGTACCCTCAGAGGAAAGAGGTGAGCATCCTGCTTTGGGTAGTTAGGAAGCCATGCCATGTCCATGACATGGGAAGGGGACAATGTGCCCTAAACAGCTCACCCAGGAGCCCTGCAATCTCATAAGCCTTCTTCTGCTCAATGGTCTCATAGTTGAGGACTTCAAAGAAAATGTCCAGCACCAGGATGTTCTCCCTGCACAGGGGTTGGGAGAGGAGACCGAGGTTCAAGTCAGATCTCTGCCTCTGGTTAGCCTGTGACCTTAGCCCGTTAGCCTCTCTGAATCTGTTTTCACATTCATGAAATGAGATGCTGATGCAGATACCTGACTTTTGGGGGTATTAGCAGAGATGGTATATACAAAATAATGCTGTACACACTGGTTAAGTGTGAAGTGACTCCAGTTACAGAAATGAGGGTGATGATAGAAGATAAAGCAAGGAGGAGGAGAAAGGGGTGTTTCTCCTGCTTATTCTGGCTTGATCTTCCCTCCATACCCACCTCCAGAACTTGGGTTGACTCTTGGCTCTTCTCTGTATTATCTCAACTGCTGCTTGCCAGCCCCCTCCCGCCCCCTTCTCCTTTCCAGCCCCTTCCCCCCCCCCCCCCCCCGTTAAAGCCTGCTGGCCCCCTTCACCGTTCCCACCCTGAGGGCCCTCTCTGCACAGTCGCAGCCCTTACCCTATGTACTGCTCAGACTTGTTGAACTTCTTAGCCAGGTATTTGGCTGAGGCTTTGCTGGGGATCTTGACCATGGACAGCTCCTTGCCATAGCGGGTCAGGTTGCAGGGCATTTCACACACGCAGTACTCCTGGTCCTTCTCTACCAAGAAGTCTGCTCCCAGGCAGGTGAGACGTGCCGGCTGAGTGCTCCCTTCTGCCCACACCTTCCCAACATGTACATCCTGACCCTGCTTAAAGGAACCCTGGGACCCCTTTTCTTTTCCTGACCTGCCCTTCACCTCAGCCCTGTGGCCATCCTGCGGTGATCCTCATCCAGCCTCCCCACAGATATTTCTTAATCCTAAAACTCATTCCCTTAGGGCTCTCAGGAACCAAACGGCTGAGGTGCTGATGAAAGAAGGTAAAGGCCCCTCCCAGGTGACCTCCCCCTTTTATTTTGTAGGTTTTTGCTATAAGGCACATGCTCTCACTGGAGAGAGAGAGAGAGAGGGAAAGTGAGAAATTCCCTCCTCCCACTGCGATTTCCTCTTGTCTATTCTCCTTTTGGGATTTTGGACACACACGCACACATGCTCGGTATGATTTTCAGGATACTAGGTCAGGGACTCAAACCATGGTCGACCATGTGGGAGTGCAGCACTTTAACCACCATGCCACCTGCTGGGCCCATTCCCCATTTATTTTTTATAGGGGCCTCTGGAGATGCTATTAGCTTCAAAGTCAGATACAGGTGAGGGTGCAGCCTAGTCTTAGAGCTATTCGAAGTTCTGAGAGCATGGTCTGGAACCCCCGGGCATGTGACTGGCAGCATATCCTTCCCTCTCCCAAGCTGCCCCAGAACAGAGCCACTCACCCAGAGCAGGATCTGCACACTCCTTGTACTGCTCTGGGGTGCAGTATGGGGCATCCCCTACAGAGGGGAAAAGATGGCGCAGGATGGAGATTAAAGGGGTCTTGTGATGGTGGAAGCAAAGACCGAGAGGGTGAGAGCTGGGAGAGGATGGGGAGGTAGACATAGCCACCCCATCTGCCGTGAAAGTGACCCACCACATTCCTTTCCTCCAGTCCACTGCTCCCAGACCATCCCTATACATCTCTGCGGGTACAAGTAGCAGGTGAGGTCAGAGAGACAAGAGCTGGGTGGACATGGAATGGGGCAGGCTGGAACTGGGGGGGAGGTTGTTAGGGTGGAGAGCCAGTGAGGTACAGTGTAGGTTGAGGGACCTTAGGACCGTGCCTGGAGCTTTGGGGTCTGACCTGGCATGTGCACCATGCGGCAGTTGCAGTTCTCCACTAGGTAGCGCGTCTCACAGTCTATGCGGCAGGCGGTGATGCTGTAGGAGTCGAAGAAATCCGAGTCCGGGGTAACAGCTTTGCAGGTGCCCCAGGGCGGGGGCAGGTAGATGAGCTGCTGGGAGAGCCAGGGAGCTGGGGGAGTGTGGGGACTTCTCCCCAAATCACCTCGATGGACTCCTCCGACAAGACACAGAACTCAAGTCCTGTCGCCTCTCCCTCTGCAGCCTCTGGAGGTCTCAGAGTTGACGGAGCATTCTCGTTCACTAGGTCATTTATGCTTCTGACTAGTGAGATTACCACCCAGGCTCTCACTCCCCTGGGCCTCCCATTATTGATTGCCCACCATTCCATCTTGACCCTTCAACACCGCAGCCCAGGACCAGCCTCCCATGGCCCTCTCACCCGCTGCTCTTGGCAGGCCACGAAGGTCTGGAAGCCTGGGGCCACGCCAAAGCCCAGCTGGTCGATGAAAGGAGGCTCATCCTGGCTGTGGATCTGCACTTTGATGCCCGCTTCGAAGGACGTCTCATCTATGGGAATTAGGGGTATTTAGTTTGAAGGGCTTCTGACTCCCTAATCCCCTCTAGAGGTGGGGACACCCTACCTCTCCTGGGAATAAGCATACACTGGGACTGGGTAGGGAGATTCTAGCCTGCCCCCAGCCTCCTGGGTTTTCCACTTCCACACTTTCCATGGCCCCTGCATTGTACACACTTTTCTTACCTGGCTTCTCCTGTGCATTTTGGTGTTTCATATTCTTTTCCCCAGATTATCACTGCCCCAGATGCTCTCCATTCTCCCCTCCCTTTTTCCCCTCTTCCCCATCCCTCTCTGCCCCAAGGCCCCCCGAGACCAGACAGGCAGGCAGCCTGAGAAGAGAGGAAGTTATTTATAGAGTGAGTGGCGGCCGCTGATGGAAAAGGATGGCTGGTTACCTTGGAGAGTAACTGAGCCAGGAAGGAGGAGCTGGAGGCATGTGAGTGTGGAAGGCAGGTAGAGTCAGAGATGGAGAGGAGCGAGACGCTGGGAGGACAGGAGAGCCGACCCCGCCTCAGGTCCCACAGTGGAGCCCAGGAGTCCCCTGGAGGAACCTGGGGCCTGGAGCCGTGGGGAGGGGGCCCCTGATGGGAGCGACATACCAGTCTCCCCCCACACAGGCAGGTACTCGTCCTGCTGGATGTCCAGCATGATTTCCAGCCCGTTGCCTGTGCCACCTTTCATGGTCTTCAGCCGTGGCCGCCCATCTCTGCCGGAGTTGAATGTGTAGCACTTTCCATACCGAGTGAAGACCTGGCAGGGGGAGTAGAGAGCCTGAGAGTCCTGCAGCAGCCCTACCACCACAGGGGTCACCAGACCCCCAGTCAGGAATGGCTCTGCCTGTGCTGCTCGTTTTCTGTGTAACCCCCAACCTGTTCTCAGCCCTTCTTTGCACTGAGGTGTGCCCTGGAAAGTTGAGCCTTGTGGGGTACAAGCCTGAGCTCCTTTGTGATGTGGACGGGCTGATGGGAAAGATCAAAAGGGATCAGAAGGCAAGAGGAGAGAGGTGGGAAACAGATCCTTCCCCAGCCCTCGCCCCTCTGTAACTTCCGCAGTGGCTTAGCCCCTCCGTGACTACAGATCCTGCCAGGAGGACTCCCTCCAAAGCACTGTTTCCTTTTGTGCTCCTCCAGCCCAGAAGTGGTAATGATTTCCCCTACTGCTCTCTCAGCCCCTCATATTAGTTTCCTGAGCTCTATCCACAGCTCAGTAAAGAGTCCTTTTGTTAAAGTCTTCTCACTTGAACTATCAAGTGCCCCTCTCTTCCTGCCAGGACCTCCTGCATAGACACCTCCATCACCGGAGTCTTATCACTGCCAGACCCCTTGGGCCCTCCTTGGGACCCTCCCCAAAGCTCAAACTCCTTCTGAGATGTATCTTCTCTTCTCCTGGATTTTACTCCAGGCATCTGAAATCTTGCTCTCCCAAAGACCTGCCCCCAAACCAGCTAAGCTTTTGATTTTCTCTAGCCATTAGCCCCCATGCCTGTCACTGTCCCATTATCACTAAGACCTGAAAGTAGATGCAGTTGCCATACCAAGGAGCATGCTTGCTTACCTAAGCACCAGCACCTGTTCCCTTAGCACTTGGGACTGAGAACCCAGGTGTGGCATGCTGGACAATGCTTCTGAAGAACTATGAGGGCCTCAGAAGGTAGCTCAACCCTGCAGGCAGTCTTCCCAATCATCTCCCCACTCCAGGTTCCAGAGCAACCCTAACCACAGCTCTGATTACATGGAGAAGAGCGAGCCCTTTTCCATGGCCCTTTTCCCAAAGCCTTCCCGAGCATCCCCAAGTTCCCACAAGTGGGATGGGAATGCTTTTACTACTGCTGGATGGTGACAGTCCACACTCATAAGGTGAGTACAGACAGCCCAGGGAAGAGGAGAGAGAATTCCAGCCAGAATGGAGCAGCAGAGGCAGTGAGAATGACTAGGAAATGGAGTCTTTGCCTCCTGCCCCTTCCTAGAACAACCTCCTCCACGCCCCTCCAGAAAAGAAAGCTGCTGCTCTCATCCATCTTGTGGGCGAGTCCAGAGATGAGGCAAAGAGAACTCTGAGGGTTCCTAATCCCCAGCCCCACAAGCAGGTCTTGTGTTCAGCCTCAGGCTCCAGGCTGGACATGCGCCCAGGCCTACACTCCCTCTGGAAAGTGGGGGATTTGAGGTGGTTGAAGCAGGCTAGTAGCCCCAGTCTTGCCCTGGCTCCAAGGCCCAGACGGCTGAGCGGTTGGTTGCTGCTGCCACCTGGTGGTTCTGGCTTAGAAGTGTCTGCTCTACCCTCCAGCCTAGAGGAAGCCAGGTTGACCTCTTCCTTTAAATGTCTATATCTCTTGGCCTCCCAAAGGTCTCTGTGCACCTGCAGAGTTCCATCATGATATGATGACACCATCCACCTGCTCCTACACTAGAGAGGAGGTGGGGAGCTGAGGGGGCAAGTGTGGCATCTGGAACCTGGAGGGCAGGAGAGGTCAGGCCAGTCAGAACTGGAAGATGAACTGATGAGGGGGTGGAGTGCTAAGTGGTCCCTCAGCTGAGAAGGCCCCAGACACATGGATGAGAGGCCAACTGGAAGGATAATTCCTAGTAAGGGATCTCCCTGACTGCTTAGAGCTGGTGGGAGAAGTCTGATTTAGAGGCCTGTTATACACACACAGTTGTGGGAGAGGGGCAGCCGTGAGAGAGCACAGGAAGGCCAGGTGAGAATGCAATGAAGTCCCAGCTGTGGGAGCTGCAGACGAGGCCATGGTGGGGTGGAGGTGAGGCTCCCCACTCTCCTACCACTTCCCTTCTACCCGCTTCTCCTACATCCAGAGAGCAGGCGGCACTCAAACAGCTTCATCCAGGGGCAGTAGTCAAAACAGTTAACAACTGGCCCGGCATCGCACCTACCACCAGATCGAAGGTTGACCTCACGGAGTAAACGAGGTCCTAGGGTCCTGCTGGACCAGAGGAGGGCTAGCAAAGGGCAGGTGGGGCTGGAGGATTCAGGGAGACTCCAGAGGCCTCAGGGCAGCAGCTAATTACCAACTAGGACAGAAGTATTTCAAGATTCTACAGGAAGAGGGGTTGGCAGGTGGCATGGTGGTTAAAGGTGCTGGATTCCCACAAGGCTGACCACAGTTTAAGTCCTGGACCTGGCGGGCAGCTTGCTTTCTTACTGTCTCTCTCTCTTTCTCTCTGCCCCTCTCTGGTAGAATTAAAATAAATAAATAAAGTTAAGTAAAATAATTCTTTTTTTTTTTTTTGGATAGGTTTTTGCTATAGGGCGTGTGCGCACACCCAAAAGAGAGAGAAACAGAGAGACAGAAAGCGAGAAATCACCCCCTGGGGAGATGGCCACTCTGCAATCCCTTCTCCTCCATTCTCGTCTCAGGATCTTAGGCACGCACATACACACGCCTGGCGTGAGTTTAAGCTACTGGGTCCGGGACTTGAACCATGGTTGTCTACGTGGGAGTCCAGCGACATAGCCATTACGCCAATTGCTGGCCCTGTAAAATAATTCTTAAAAAAAAAAAAGGATTTTTACAAGAAGAGAAGAGTTGACCCAATCTTGGGAATATCAGCCCAGTTCCAGACCCTGGGCTCCTGAGTGAGCTCTGGTTAGGTGGGGGGTGGGGGCAGCACAGTCACCAACCCCGCCAGGGAGAGCCATGGCAGACACTCTGAAGGTGCTGTGCCAGGCGTGGGCCCCCACTCACCACGGAGAAGTTGTGCGGGCCACAGGGCCCCCCTTGGTAGGAGCAATAGAGCAGCATGTCCTCCAGCCGGTGGCAGGAGCGATTGTAAAAGCGGTGCAGGTTAAAGGGCTCCCCGGAGAAGGCCTCCGGCCCTGGTGGAGCGAGAGGCACGCCAGGGTCGTCACTTTCGTCCAGACCCAGCATGGGGGCCAGATAAAGCAAGTCGGGGTAGCTAAGCTGAGACAACCGCACGGCGTTGGTGTTGCAGAGGGTGATGGCCGGGAAGGCCAGCTCCGTGGTGGCCACCTCGTCAAGCAGAGTCACGTGTGGGTAGCTGAGATAATAGGCAACGCGGTCCCCTACCTGACACAGAAAGGCACCCAGTGCCAGGACAAAGGCCACTGCCCACAGGGCCTGTCTTGGCCCTGGGCCCCCCTCCACAAAGACGTGGCTGGCACCGTGGAGGGTACAGTTGTTGGCAAAGGCCACCAAGTCCACAGGCGAATCCCCCTCGTCGGCCGCCTTCCTCGCTGACTCCTTTTCCTTCTCTTCCTCTTCTTCTGATTCCGAGTTGTCCCGCTGCTGCTGGTGATGGTGGGGACCCCAAACATCTTCCAGAGGCCCTGGTGCCTCCTCTCCAGAAGAGAATGACACAGAACAAAAGATCTGGATGGGCATCTTCTCCAGGGGCTTCCAGGCACCAGGGGATGGGCAGCAGGAAGGGAAGAGGTGCCGGAGGCGACAGAGCTGTGAGCCCAGGCAGGGTTCGGCAGGGGGGGGCAAAACTGCCCGCTGCCGCGGCTGGCGTCCTACCTACCAGGCCTCTGTGGCAGTGTGGCCGAGGTGGGGCGGGGCGTGGAGGAGGAGGGCCCTACCAGGGAGGGCGGCTTCTGAGCTGATGAATAATGAATGGCAGCAGGCAGTGAGGCTGATGGAGAGGAGGGGGTAGGAGCCCCTTTCTAGCTCCAGCAGGACAGAGGTCATAAGGCAGAGGGGAAGTGGTGAAGAGCTGAGGCTAGAGCTCTGGAAGGCAGCTCCCCAGGTGAGGTGGGAGCTCAGTTCAGTCCTTCGCTCCTGCCGCCCCGATGACCCAGCCAGTGCACACACTCAGTGCTCCCTGGCCGTCCAATCTGTCCCTCGGTCTTTCCATCCCGGTTCAGGGTCCACTCCCCCTTGTTCTTACCAGGTCCAGTGATTCCTCTGGGATAGCCCAGCCCCCTGCACTCTCTAGGTCCCTCTAATCCAGTTCTCATTCTCCTGGACCCCTAGTCTTCCCCAGTTCCTTCACTGCCCCTGACTCTTCCAGTCCACCCTTAGATTCCAGTTCTCCTCCAGCTAGTCCTTCCGTCCCAGTTCTCTTCCAGTCACCATCCTGACCCAGTTTACTCAGTTACTCCCTGAACCCCCAAATTCCCTGCAACCACTCTCTTGCCCCCCAGAGCCCTCCTGCAGTCTCGGTCCTCTTCTCTCTCACTTCTGAGCCCCTGCTTTACTCAGGTCAGCACCCCACCCCCGTGTTGAGCTGCACTTAGGCCCCTCCTCGCCCTGCTCTCTGTGGCTTGTGGGGCGGCGGCCCAGCTTCCATTAGCAGAGGTCTCTCACTGACCACAGACTCATTTCTGGCCTGTTCCCGGCACTGGGGGGGTGGGGGAGGGCCCATCTCTGGCAGCTGAGATGCTTCCTGGCAGCTCACTCTAGCCCTCTCCGCCTGCCCACCCCCAACCATCCAGAAGAGGAGTTCGAGGAATTCTCTGGTCAGAGGAAAATGTTGGGACCCATGCAGTGACAAGGGGTCCTGGGTCACATGGAGAATATCAGGAGCCAACCTGGGGCTACTCCCAAACCCTCGGCTTCTCGGACCCCCAGTCCTTCAGTCTCTGAGGGGCCCCTGTCCCTAGTTTACTATTCTCTCCCCCAGGAGCCCTCCCCCCACCCCTCTGTGTGCTCTGATTACTCAGGGCCACTGGTTGAGCAACTTGAGCCACCAGCTGAGTCTCCAGGGCCAAGAAGGTGACCTGAGGGGAGGACAGGAAGGGGGGGGAGGAGAGAGACTGTATTAACCCTTCCTCTGCAGTTCAGTCTAGGTGGGCCTCTGCACTCCTCAGCTATTCCTGGCCCCAGTCACTTCTCCTGCTTCTTTGCTCCCCTCCCTGCCTGCTCCTACAGCTGCCCTTCTCCATTTGCATGCAGAGACCCTGGAGCGCGTGGGGTCAGGGGCAGGGTGCCAGGCTCTAGCAGAACTGACCGAGGTAGAACCTCTGGCCTTAACTTTGCTGCCAGGGACACAGAGGCCCCAGAAGAAAGGCCTTGAGGTCTGGCCTCTCTCCATCCTCACACCTCCATTCTCAGCCTGGCCTCCACCTCTTGTGCCTACACACAACAGTCTCTCAACTGGTCCCTCTAACCTCCGCCTCCCGGCAGCCTCTCCTGGCCTTCAGTCCTTGCTGTGTGATTTTGACCATGGTGCTACATAAAGACCTCTCACTCCCCAGGGCCCCCAATGGACCTGTAAAGCTGAAAGCACTTTGGTTTCCAGCCTCACTTTCCACCACTGCCCATGCACCCTAGTCCAGCATCCACCCACCACGACACTTCCAGGACACACTGGGCTCATCCACAACTCCATGCCTTCCCTGGACTCCCTCTGGAGAAGTCCCACTTCTTTTCCAAGATCCTTCTCACATTGCCTCTCCCAAGAAGCCTTCCCCAGAGGGCACAGATAGCTCCCAAAAAAATAGACCGAAAGGTCAGTTCTGCTCATGGACCTTGAGGCCAGGGACTGTGAGAGTAAGAGAGCAAGATCCAGAGATGGCGTGAAGTAGCAGGAAGTGAGAAAGACCAGGAACACCCAGGCAGCCAGAGATGTCTGCAGAGATGAGGAGAGATACCCCCCATTCTGAATGAATACGGCTTGCTTTTCTGTTTCCTGTCCCATGTGCATTTTCTTCCTGCTCACTCAATCTCAAGTTCTCAAATGGCAAGATCCTCCTCCCTTGCATCTCCTCAGGAGGTGTTTCAAAAATAAGTACCAGATGGGTTTGCCAGGGCTACATCAAATGAGGCTCTGGCTGAGGGCGCTACAGCTGCCCATGCGAGCCATGCCCACTAGGAGGCACTGTCCCCTTCCTTTGGACGTCCTGGAAGGGGCAGTCTACAGGACTTCCAGAGGGAGGGAACTGAGTTTGCAGAGAAGGGTGTGCACACACACACACAGAGCAGCTTCAAGGAACAGCAGGTTTGGTACAGCTGAGTACCCCTTCCTACACACTCGCACCAAGCCCCATGCTGCACACTGATGCATCACTACACAGACACGCAGCCCTGGTGTGGGGCATCGCACACACACTCCACTACAGTTCCTCCCTCTCCATTCCTGCATCCTCCCTCCTCTAACATTCTCTCCCACCTTCACTTCATTCCAGAAGACAAATCCAATGCTTTGAGGTAATAACAGGAGGTGAGGAAAATGTCATACACCAGACCCCCCACCCCAACACACACACAAGGGCTGCAGGAGAGGTGCCCACACACACAGAGCTGTGCTCGATTCTGAACACTGTCCAAGGATGCGGCCCTTCCCCGTATCACCCTCCACCCAGAATGTCCCTTCAGCCGTGTGTAGCAACCGAGTGATTTCTGACTTGACATCACCTTCTGAATTCCAACCACCCTTCACATCTGTGCAATGTTTTACGATTTTCCACTGATATCTCATGGGATCCTCATACAGCCCAGGGAAATAAGCAGGTATGAGTAGCTTCATTTGACAAGTGAAGAAACAGCTATCCCAGCCTGTTCAAGTCTCGTGGAGAGCAAGTGCCAGGCTTGAAACTGGAATTGGGTCGTCTCTTTACAATCCCTTCCTTTTTCCTTCGTTCACTTATTCATCGACACGCTGGACAGCAAAAGCCTCCCGATTCTGCCCTTACAAGCTTACTATCTAGTGGGGGAGACAGACATCAATTTTAAGTCACTGAAAAAAATACTTAATCTTCCTATCGCTGTCCTGGCCCAGTTTCCTCAGTTACTTTCTGAACCCCAAATTCCTTGCAATCATTCTGATAAATGCTATAAAAAATATGATGCTGGGACCAGCAGTTAGCGTAATGGCTGTCGCTGGACTCCCATGTAGTCGACTGCAGTTCGAGTCCCAGATCCAGTGGCTTAAACTCATGCCGGGCTTGTGTGCGTGCGTGCCCAAGATCCCAAGAGGAGAATGGATGCAGCGTGGCCAGCTCCCCCGGGGGTGGGGGTGATTTCTCACTTTCCGTCTCTGTCTCTCTCTGTCTTTCTGGCGAGTGCACGTGCCCTATAGCAAAAACCTCTCCAAAAAAAAAAAAAAATTATGGTGCTATGGGGACAAGGGACAGGGACCTCAGACTGGTGTGTTAAGGAAGGTTCCTCTGAGGATGTCATGTCTGAGTTGCGATCTGGAGAATAAGGAGTGGCTTGGTCAGGGAGTTTGTGTAGGAGGGGGACGGTATTCCAAAGAGAGACCCGAGTGTGTGCAAGGGCACTGAGGGGAGGGCTAAGAGGATGCAGGTGTGGTTGATGCAGTGGGCGAAGGTCTGTAGGAGCCAGATCTTTCAGGGCCTGGAAGGCCACGGTAGAAATTATAGTCCAGGCCTTCTATGGGAAGGTTTCAGTGACATGTCTGGAGACCTCTCTGAGTACGCCAGGCGGACATGTCTGGAGACCTCCCTGAGTACGCCAGGCACACATGTGCTCAGGATCCAGGGCTGGCTGGGGCTGGGCGTAGATCGTAGCACTGAGACAATTTTGAGGATGCAGTTTCTCTCACTCTTTCTTGCTCATGGGAGGAAGAAAAAAATACACTTAAAAAAATAAGATTCCAGGGGCCAGCAGGTTGCTTGGTGGTTAGGGGCGCTGGATTCCCACATGGCCGACTGCAGTCCAAGTCCTGGACCTGGCGGCTTGCTTTCTCCCTTTCCCTTTCTCTTTCTGGTCAAATTAAAAAATAATAATAACAAATGGAATTAAATAAATGCATAATAAAAAACATAATACGATTCTGGAAGTCCGGCAGGTGACATGGAGGTGAAGGCAGCTGGATCCCACACAGCCAACTTTGCAGTCTGAGTCCCAGACTCAGTGGCTTGAAAATCATGCTGGGCATGTGTGCGTGTGTGCCCAAAATCTCAAGAGGAGAGTGGAGGAGAAGGGATTACAGGGTGGCCATCTCCCCTGGGGGGTGATTTCTCGCTTTCCTTCTCTCTATCTTTCTCACTGTCTGTAGTGAGCGCACACACCCTACAGCAAAACAAACAAATTTCTGTTCAAGAACAAAACAGGACTCCCGGGAACCAGCAGTTAGCGTAATGGCTATGTTGCTGGACTCTCACGTAGTTGACCGTGGTTCGTGTCCCGGACCCGGTGGCTTAAAACTCACGCCGGGCGCATGTGCGTGCGTGCCCAGGATCCCGAGAGGAGAATGGAGGAGAAGGGATTGCGGCGTGACCATCCCCCCTGGGGGGTGATTTCTCGCTTTCTGTTTCTATGTCT